CTTAATGGGTTTCCAGTGACACTGGCATTGTGTATTGTTCAAATACAGGTGTAGATCCTTTTTAAAAATTGAGACTGAGTACCTAAGAGTAAATACATCTTCTGGGCAGGTGGGGTGGAGAAAGTCTTTCATAGAAAAAGATACCATCCTCAAGGGAGTCTGGCTGAAAACTGAGAATGCAGGACTTTCCTGGTGGCTCAGTTGTCAAGAATTCAGTTGCCAATGCAGGGGACCTGGGTTCCATCCCTGGTTCGAGAAGATGCCATGTGCCGCCAAACACCTGAGCCCGTGTGCCACAGCAGCTGAAGCCCACACTCGAGGGCCCACGAGCTTCAGCCCATGAAGTCCATGAGCCTAGAGCTTGTGCTCGGCGATGAGAAGCCAGCACAGTGACGCTCGCACCGCAGCTCGAGAGTAGCCCCCACTCTCTGCAACTGGAGGGAGCCCACACGCAGCAACAAAGGCCCAATGCAGCCAGAAAGTTCATTAATTAAAACAAATTAATAGTTTAAAAACAAACTGAAAGAGAGAACTTAGGATAGGCTTGTAGGATCCTTCTGTGGTTTCTGATTAATTATGTTTCCTTCTCACTGCCAGTCACACTTCTCTGTTTTCATCACTTTCCCCTTTTAACCCCAGGAATGCAGTTATTAACCTGAAGTCTGTGCAGAGGAATCTTTATCTGTCAGACCTTCAGACAAGCAATGATTTGAATGTTTTGCCAAAGGCAGTAGAGTAGCCAGTCCCCAGCTTCAGTTTCCTGCTCTGGACTAAAGCTGCCTCCTGCTGTGTGGCCGCAGTGCCTTGATGAACCTATCAAATAACTTTTAATGATGGCATTTGAATAGACAGGACACATCCTATCCCTGCTAAGGTTTAGTTATGTTTTTGCAGCATATCAGTGAGAATGTGGGAAGGATGGTATCAGTGGGTTAAGGGTGATTAAAGGATGTGTGTGTTTACATTTTCTTTCTTTGAACTTCTTCCAGAAATGTTTACTGGGACTCTGTGGGGGATGCAACCAAATTAGAGTTTTACTGTGTGTTTTTGATTTAGGAAATTATATGTATTGCACAGCAAGTTAGCATGATGGCATGCACTCTTATCTATACATGTAAAGTATTTATAATTTTGCAGCTTTTCCTTTCAATTGTTCCATAAAAACCTAAAAAAAAAAAAAAAAAACAACAACCCTCCAATTATTCAACCGTGAGAAAGTAGGACATCCTGTCATTTGCAACAGCGTAGATGGACCTTGAGCACATAATGCTACGTGAGATGAGTCAGATAGAAAAAGACAAATAGTGTATGATCTCCATTTACATATGGAATCTAAAAAAAGACCAGTTCATAAAAACAGAAAGCAAAATGGTAGCTACCAGGGGATGGAGGGTAGGAAAATAGGATTGATGTTGTTTAAGGGTACAAGCTTTCGGTGAGTAACAAATAAACCCTAGAGATTTAATGCACAGTTTAGTGAATACAGACAACAATACTTTATTGTAATCATCCACTTGCTAAGAGACTACTACTTAATTATTGCAACCACTCAGAAGAAATAAGTAATATGATAGATATGCTAATTTTGGAGAAGGAAATGGCCACCCACCCCAGTATTCTTGCTTAGAGAATTCCATGGACAGAGGACCCTGGCAGGCTACAGAGGACCCCCATGGGGTCGCAAAGAGTCCGACACGATTGAGCGACTAACACAACACCACACATGCTAATTATCCCTACAGTGACTATCATACTAAAATACATAAAGATATCAAACTAGCGTGTTGTCTGCCTTAAATTAGTGTTATACATCAAATATATTTCAACTAGAAAAATGTCAAGTTCCCACTGATAATCAATTTAGATTTGCTTTTCCTCACTGTTTTTGTTAGAACTAGTTGGAATGCAATAGAAGTTTAAGGAGAGATTGGTATGGTGTCATCACTGTTTGGAGAAGTCTTCATGTTGTTATTCTTCTTGGAAAAAGTAAATATGGGTTAGGAAAATATTCTGACCTATTAATAGCAACAAGTAACTAGTTATTTCATCTTTGTTGTTAGGTTTGCAAAGCAAGTATCTCACTTAACCTGTGCAAAGAACAAATGAATTTGAAACATATTTAAAACTGAGAATCAGTTGCAAAAGTCAAGCGCAGTAATGACTCACTTTAATTTTGAAAAAATGCTTCTCATTCTACTTTATTATACAAAAATGGATTTAGTATTAATTGCCTATCTTCTGTGCTTATGAACACTCTTAAAGATAAAAAAAATCCATATAGCTACCACACTAATGATTTTCTTTCCTTTCTTTTCTACAATTTTCTTGCTTACTTCATGATATTCTGTAATGACAAGATTAAATATTTTGTGTATCTTTATAATCATGTTTTGTTTTTAAAAACCAACTGTTGCAAGTAGAAAAACATTTAACTTCGTTTAGATTCAGACAATATTTGGAAGGCTGCCACATATACAAGCTGTCTGAGAGAAAGTGATGATAGGAAAGTCCCTAACCCCAGGGAATATAGCCTAAAAGGAAGACAGGCATTATTTGTTTGTTTTCGTATATTCATTTAACAGGTACTTAATGCATGAGTAACTCTTTATATCCTAGGTTCCATTCTAAATTATTTTCAAGTATTAACTCACATAAGTGATTATATACAAGTATTTCTAAAGAGAGAAACACTCTTTTTTGTTTGGAATTCATTATCATTTAATAATAGGGAGCAACAGAGACGTGTGGCATGTAAACACACAGCATCTCTCATTTCGTCACATTTTCAGAATATGACATCTGGACCGGACAAAGAGAGATCCGATCCCTTATACCAGGAGAGGAAGGCTGAGCTGGGTTCACCGTCTTCTTCTGCCTATTTAAGCCGTCTGGGCCCTGTACTGGCTTTGGCTGGTGTGACCAGTCGTACTAGTGCCGACTTGGAGTGGTCTTCCCTTAACCTGATGCAGTCATTGTTGCAATTAGCCCTATGCTATTTTTTCTATTTTGGGAGAAGTTGATGAAGAGTACCTGCCTTCAAAATTTGTTTGCTAATCCCTGTTTTCAGAAAAATTATCATGTCTTGCATACTTGACTTTCAAGATGACAATTTACAAACTAAACCTCTACTTGAGTAGTCTTAGGAAGGTCTTTTTTTTTTTCAAGTTCCAAATCTAATTTTGTCTCTTAAAAGTTCATAGAACTTCTTATTGCTTTTCAAGCAACATAGTCTAGAAACAATATGTTATATTCTTAATTGTATAATATATACTGTGGTATTCAAAAGCCTTTAGAAATTACTCTGCTTTCTTACAAACTTCATTTTACAAATCAAAGTAAATTACATACGTTAATCAGAAGTTACTGTTAAGAGTGGTAGAGAAGAGAAAGAGAGATGAGTGAACTGCATGAACATAGATTTTTCCCATGTATGGGACAGTCCTTAAATTGTGGAACTTTCTTTTCTTTATGTACATTTCTGTAAAAAAATTGAAGTATAGTTGATTTACAATGTTGTGTTAGTTTCATATGTACAGCAAAGTGATTTAGTTATGCACACATTTTTTATTCAGATGCCCTAGGAAGCCCCTAGAATATATTTATGTGATAACATTTTCTTTGCTATCTCTCTTAGTCTCTCCAGGCTGCTATAACAAAATATCATAAACCAGGTAGCTTATGCACAACAGACATTCATTTCTCACAGTCTGCAGGCTGGGAAGTTCAAGATCACAGTGCTGGTGGATATAGTGTAGTGGCTGCTGAGAACCCAGTTCCTGGTTCATAGCCATCTTGCTGTCTTCACCTGCTGGAAGGGGCAAGCCAACTCACTGGGGCCTTCTTTATAAAGGCTCTAATCCCATTCATGAGGGCTTTGCCCTTGTTAAACTAAGCACGTCCCCAAGGCCTCCTAATACTATCACATCAGACATTAGGATTTCAACATGAATTTGATTGGGACACAATTTTTGGACTATACTTTAGGCAAATTTGGGCTTCCCTGCTGGCTCAGATGGTAAAGAATCTGTCTGCACTGCAGGAGACCTGGGTTCGATCTCTGAGTCAGGAAGGTTCCCCTGGAGAAGGGACCGGTAACCCATCCCAGTGTTGTTGCCTAGAGAATTCCATGGACAGAGGAGAGGAGTCTGGCGGGCTACAGTCCATGGGGTCGCAAAGATTCGGACACAACTGAGCGACTAACACTTTCATTTCACTTTTTTTCTTTTAAGCACATTTAGGAAGTTCCTAGAATATCACCTTTGTAATAACATTTTCTTTACTATCTAACATTTGTGTGTGTGCGTGCAGTCACGCTCAGTCTTGTCTGACTCTTTGTGACCCCATGGACTATAGTTGCTAAGCTCCTCTGTCAATGGAGTTTTCCAGGCAAGAATACTGGAGTGTGTTGCCATTTACTTCTGCAGGGAATCTTCCCAACCCAGGGATCAAACCTGCATCTCTTGCATCTCCTGACTTGGGGTAGATTTTTTTTTTTTAACCACTGGCATCACCTGGGAAGCCCCCAATATATTTTACTTTATTAAACAATTTATTTATTTAATTTTGGCCATACTGCACAGCATGGGTGATCTTAGTTCCCTCACGAGGGATTGAACTCATGCCCCCTGCATTGGAAGGACAGAGTCTTAACCACTGGACTGCCAGGGAAGTCCCCTAATATATTTGATTTTTCTTAGTAGTGTTCTTACAAAAATAAAAACCTATGTCTTTAGGTTGTTCATAATTAAATTAACTAGTTCCAGCCTGTTGCCTATCCAGAGTTGGCCACTGTCCCTACCTTGGTTTGTCTGTATAATTAAGTTTACCATCAGTTTCTACCTCTCAGTCTCAGGACAAAGCAAAATTTCAGTCGGTAAAGATGATGATTCCTAAGTGTGTGTTGTTTGGTAAATTTGACCTTTAAGGAAGAAAAATACATAACCAAATTCTTTGTACTGGTCTAAATTTTGAAATGAGCCACCAGCATGCTTTGTTTTCAGGTCCGTATTGTGGAAGCATGACTATGCCCAAAGAACTTCTGCTGAATACCAATGAAGTAACTGTGCGCTTTGAGAGTGGATCCCACATTTCTGGGAGGGGTTTTTTGCTAACCTATGCCAGCAGCGACCATCCAGGTATGGTGGAATAACCAGCATGAATCGGTAAACCTTTATCTGTCTTAGAATTCCTCTTGCTAGTCACCATCTTTGGACAGAATTGGGACCTCAGAATCAGAATTGAGATGTCAGGGAAGAGAGGAACACAGTGTCTTCATAGGTATTTAGTTAGGTCTGAACTGAATGCTTTCATAGCACATGTTAGATTGATCACTGACTTATATGGGAGAGGGTTGACTTAATTTTCCAAGAAACCTTGGATTGTGTATCTTTAGGGATATGCGCCTGACCCTTCTGAGGTCTGGCAGTTCTCTGGAGCTCTCCCCCAACCCCTTTCTTGGTCCAGGAGACAAGCCTTTTAACCAGTGATACCCCCGCCCCAGCCCTCATACCCACCAGCACACCAGCCTAGGAGCACGCAATGCGAGAAGGATGAGGTCACTGTCACCGAGTGCCCCATTCATCAAGCTGGCACATCAGCAGGAGAGAAGAGGAGCATGAACACGGATGGGGAAGGAAAACATAGCCTCTCGTCTGGGTCAACTCCAGAGTCATTTCCGTGCAGCCCAGGGTCTCTCCAGGGCCTCAGAGGTGTCCAGAGTTTCTGCTCAGTTCCCGCCAGCAGAAATAACTCTGGGAACCGGGTACTCCATTTATTTCCTGCTCAATCAGATCTGAGCAATCCTAGCAGGCCGCTGCATGGCTAGTGATTAGCATAGGTTGCTCCCTAAGAACCACTGAAAAGATTAAGGAAAGAACAGCAGCAAGTGTGGAATATTGGAAACTATCCTAGGTGCATCTAAAAGCACCCAAATCCACAGCATCTTCGAGTTTCCATTCTTAGTGTAAGTTCAGTTCTATAAGTTGCTTCAGAGAACACCTTTCTTTTAAGTCTTTGGACCTCATTGATCAAAGCCAATAAGCACTTTGTGTTCCAGCTAAACACGTGGCCCTGTGGTTGCTTGGATGCCACTAGATAAACTGTCAAATTAAAATGTTCCTGAACCTTCTCTGTAAACCACATGGGCTCTTGAAATTGTTTTCTACCTGCCAGTAGAAGTTACATGATCTTTGTAGGTGTGGAGTCAATAGTAACGATCCAATGTTGTTTTTTGGTTGAAAAAAGATTCTGTTACCATCCACTGGATAAATGGTGAAGAACCATCATTGATGGTAGAAAAGAAAGATGAACTAATGAAATACTGGGGATAGTGTATCAATTTTTATTTATTTTTAAACAGAAAAGTTCAGATAACTAGAGAATAAATAAATACTTTTCAGAAACTGTTTCATTTTAAGAGAAATCTTTAGTGTCCTAACTTCTATTCAGTCTGCTAATTGCAATTGTGTTTATTTATGACAGATTTAATAACATGTTTGGAACGAGCTAACCATTATTTGAAGACAGAATACAGGTAAATACAGTGTCCTAGTTGTGCTGCAGTCATTTGTTGCTGAATATTTTGTTTTCCTTGACGTTAAGCCAGATAAAGTACCTTTATTTGTATTTAATTTAAAAAATCATCTGTGTTGTAATGAATCAGGAATATTTGAAATGGTTTCTTATACAGCAGAGATCAGCAGACTTTCTGTCAAAGGCCAGGTAGTAAATATTTTAGGTTTTGCAGGCCATGCAGTCTTTTTTTATCTGCTCACGCAGTTCTGTTCCCTTTGTAGTGCAAAAGCAGCCATAGACAGTACGTGTGTCAATGAATGAGCATGGCTGTGTTCTGATAAAACTTTATTTAAAAAAAAAAAAGTGCAGGTTGGATTTGGCCCATGGGTCATAGTTTGCTGACCCCTGAGTTCTGCTCTAGTACCTGTGTGCCAAAATGGAGTCTAGAGTGCATTTATTGCCTGGCCAGCATTTGGGAGTGACTTCTGTGATTCTGGAGGGGGTTCATTTTCTCTTTCCCACAGGAAAGAGACCTACAGAGAATAGGAGATGAAAAGTTTCACTCCAGCCTTACTTTAACTGGAAAAATTACTTGATCTCTTTGATGTACATTTTCTCATTTCTAAAACAAGAGCCTAGAGGGGATTTCTCAACCTTGGCACTACTGATATTGTGGACTATTTATTCTTGTGAAGAGCTGGTCTGTGCGTTGTGGATATTTAGCAGCATCCCTGGCCTGTGTGTGCCAGTTGTGGTAAACATCTCCAGACATTTCCAAGTGTTTCTGGGTGGGCAGAAATCACCCCTAGTTGAGAACCACTGGTCTAGAAGTCATTGTCAACAAAAACACTAACAACAACTCTTAACTCCTTAGAGTGTTTCCTTAGTGCCAGGTACAACTCTCTGGATTTCGTATATCAATAGCTACACAATAAATAAGTATACTCCAAAAGTCAAGCTCAAGGGTCCGTGGTCCTATCCATCTAACATTCTAACAAATGAGATTATTTTATATGCAGAATCAACTCCACTGTTTACTAATATGAAGTCTAGTTCAGAAAAGACAAAAACAAAAATGACCAATAATTAGATGTTGCCCTTAAAGTTGCTGTTCATCCAATGTGGACATTCACCAGCATTTTCTTTCCAGCCATCTGTGTATAGCCCCAGTGGTGCCAAGGCCTTCGGGCATCAGTAGTCATTTCGCATCCTCTTAGAGAAAGGAATATGCTCAGCCCCACAGTGTGATATTATGGTGCCAGACCATCTAAGCTGGGCCCAACTGATTTGTAATGTTTAGTTAAAGATGAGGTATGATGACTAGTACAGAGCCATAATCCTTCATCTATCATGAAATGTAGAAAATGTAGAAAGCTGGGAAAGTCAAATAATTTTTGTAATTCATTTGATGGCAGCACATGATTAATGTGACCATAGATTCATCTGACAGCAAAATTGGACTAAATTAAACATGAGACTGTTTTATCTTTATCCTTTTGGCCCAATACAACTATCCGTGTATTTGGTAGAGATATTGAAGTTCTGATTACTATTTGCAGACCTCAGTAGGGTTTTACATCATATACACTGTTAGCACTGTTTTACTTTTCCAAAATCCTTCAAATTCTGAATTCTCGAATATATTTGGCTCTAAGGGCTAGGATAAGGAACTGTAAGCCTGTAATAGGATTTCCGTTATTTCTGTTTCTTAATTCCTTGATTATTGCTGCAGGGCTGGATTCCATTAGGTCAATGGGGAAGAATTATAAACCATGTACTTGGGTAGTTTTGATAATTAGGTGTTGTCACACATCTAACTTGCTAAGTCAGCAGGAGGAAATTGAGAGGAAATGAAATAAAAGCAACTGCTATTTTGGAATCTGTTTGGGCTGGTACATTCTTCTTGAGCAAACCAAACAAACATTATTGTAATATGGCATATAGAGAAACAAGGGCTTATGGCATTCATCTTCAAAGCTGTCAATGTTTATCCCAACCCAGGGATCAAACCCATGTCTCCTGCATTGCAGGCAGATTCTTTACTATCTGACTCACGAGGGAAGCCTTTAGGTTAATCTGTGTTTTCACAAATCAAGTTTCTGATTTGTCATTACAAGAAGATGTTCCTGCATGTTGCATGGAGAGAAAATACTTTTAAGTATAATTTAATACTTTTTAATTTAAGCAAGCCTTAATAAAATATATGCTCTACTTTTTTTTTCCAGCAAGTTCTGCCCAGCTGGTTGTAGAGATATACCAGGAGATATTTCTGGGAACGTGGTGCATGGCTATAGAGATGTAAGTAATTGAGGGTAATTTTATGGCAGGGAAGACATTAAAAAGTTAGTGCTTGTTGCTCTGCCTAAGTTCTTTACAAAGTCAAATAAGATGTAAAACTTTGTAGATAGATGCACAGTTCTCTTTTCTGAGAATAAATGAAATAATAAGTATAAAAACCAAGGTTTTTCATGCATTCATTCCTATTTTTAGCATTTCCAATTAAGGATACTATAAATGAAACAAAACCCTTTATTATAACTTAAGAGTATAATTCCATTCAGTTTTCATAAGAGGTCATCCTTTTGTTATAATTTGTTTATTGATTTTACTACTCCAATTGCTTCAGGTAATACAGCCAAAGACATGAACATTTTACAGCACAGAATAGTGACATTGTATCTGGGACCAATGAAGCCATTTGCCCTGCTCTTTTGTATTATTCCCCTCCCTCCTTGCACCCCAATTTCTTAGGCCTATTGAAACTGGGTGATATACATTGTTCCCAGAAAAAAATAAAACTCACCAGAAATCCTTTTTATTAATGTATATGTCTTTTTATTATATGTATATGTCTTTTGTATATGTCTTTTATTAATGTATATGTCTTACATTCAGATTCACAATTCTTCATTTCTTACTATTCACAGATTTCTATCCTGGAAATCTGATACCTGAGTTTTAAAAATTTACATTACTATTTTAAATGGTTGGGTTTATAGCTTATGGGAAGGGGCTTGAGTTATTAGAAATATAAAAATCTGTATAGTGATGGAACTTTCCTACGATCTATTAACATGTCTTTATGCACAGGGAACATACATGTTCTAGGAGCTTGATCATTTATCTCCTACAGGAGGAGGAAAAATTGGCTTTAATTCTGCTTTCAGTACTTCCTGATTTTGGAAGCAGCAGGTCTGTGATTTTGCTCGTTGCTTCCTTTTTCATGTGTTTTCTTTATTTACAAGATTGACATAGAATGTTTACTTGGCCTAGAAACTGAATCTGAAAATGATTTATACTACCTCAGTTTGAAAATTACTTGGCACAGGCTGAAGTACTAAATGACTTTAGGAAGTAAACCAAAAGACATAAAAAAGTTGAGGTATAGTTTTCACCTTCTAGCAATGTATAGTTTTAATTTATTATTTTTCTGGCCTGTGTAAGAAACTTAAGAATTCCATGCAGCAAGAGAAATAGTGTTGTTTCTTTCTTACTTTAGCTGTTTACCCTGCCTTCTCTGGACAGAGCTCTCCTTTTCATAGTAACAGGTAAATGGTTTCTTGGGTGGTACGTGACCTGCAAATGCTGACAAACAGGTTTCCTGTTTGATGCACTAGCTGGTTTTACACCATTTGCTCTCAGTGTGATTTTATCTGGAGGGAAAATTTGTATTTTGAAAACACATCTCTTCAAAGTTGGACTAGTGTCTCTCTTTTGTATATGTTGATATTGTGGGTATATTAGATAACTGTTGCCACATAACTATTACCAAAAACTTGGATGCCTGAAGCACATGTATTACCTCTCATGTTCTGTGGTCAGGAGTTCGAGCACGCACTGCTGAGTTCTCTGCTTCAGGGACACCCACTCAGCAGGTTCTATCCAAGGTGACATGAGCATGTCACTGGGGCTGCAGTTTCATCTGAGGCTCCACTAGGAAAATATGTGCTTCTAAGCTCACATGGTGTTGGCAGCATGCAGTTACTGATGGACTGTTGGATAGAGGACCTCAGTTTCTTCTTGGTTGGAAGCTGTCCTCAGCTCCTTACCATGTGGACTGTTTCAACATGACTACTTGCTTTTTTTCCCCCTCCTGATAATTTTATTTCCATTTCCTGTATACCATCTTTATTTATTTTTTTTTTAATTTTATTGATGTATAGTTAATATACAAGTATATGGGCTTCCCTGGCAGCTCAGACATACTTCACTCAGTATGGCAGTCTCTAGGCCCATCCATATGGAAAAAAACTGGTATAGACAATCTTATATACAAAGCCTCAATAGAGACACAGACATAGAGAAGAAACATAGGGACACCAAAGGCGAAAGCAGTGGCGATGGGAGGAACTGGGAAGTTAGGATCGATATATGTACTGCTGATACTGTGTATAAAATAGATAGGGCTTCCTGGTGGCTCAGACGGTAAAGAATCTGCCTGCAGTGAGGGAGACCTGGGTTCTATCCCTGCGTTGGGAAGATCCCTTGGAGAAAGAAATGGTAACCCACTCCAGTGGTCTAGCCTGCAGAATTCCATGGACAGAGGAGCCTGGCGGGCTAATAGTCCATGGAGTTGCAAAGATTTGGACATGAATGAGTGACTCACACAACACAGCACATAAAATAGATAACTAGTGAGAACCTACTGTATACAGCACAGGGAACTGTACTCAGAGCTCTGCGGTGACCTAAATGGAAAGGAAATCCAAAAGAGGGAGGTGTAAGTGCAGCCGGTTCACTTTGGTGTACAGGAGAAAATAATAGACTATTGTAAAGCAATTGACTCCAATAATAATAATAATAAGAGAATTGGTTCATTTTGTGTTGTTTCAAAAGGCAGAACGAAGAGCCAGGAGGCCACTTTCCATAGCATATAAGGAATAACTGAACAGTGTAAGATGGGATAGGGTGTCTCCAGAAACAGGGGGGCCCTAATCAATGAAAGTGTCAAGTGTGGAGATTACAGCCTTTGTCACAGTGGCCTGGATGTGTGGGGAGGAGAAAGGGACAGTCTGTCAGGAGGTGTCACAGAAAACTTTCAAGATCATTTAGAATTCTGAAGATTCTGTGATTCTGTCTCCTTGGCTGGTGAATGAAGGCATCGTACAGTGTAGGCTTAACATGCCAGTTAAGAAATACAGACTTTAAGCTCTGCCTTATCTGGAAACCAGAAATAAAAAGCGCTCAGAACAGTTTTTCTCTTGGTAGCTTCTCCCAAGCCTGCTGACTGTACCGTCTGCTTTTAAGCAGAACACATCCCTTAACTAACTTGTTTCAGTAATTCTCCATTCCCCCCAAATATTCAAGAAGTACTGTAAGTTAAGGGGAGACAGTGCAAAAAGTGTGTTCCTGATTTAGCAGAGAAAGGGAGAAACCCAGTTGCATACACCCAGAAAAAACCAGAGGCAAATAAATACATCATATTGATGAGTGGTTGTCTCTGAGTGATGACAGTATAGTGATTTTATTTTTTCATATTTTCTAAAATTTCTGTGGTAAATGTATATTACTTTTCTAAGGAAAATGTTACCATGGTCATTATGAAGATGGCAGTGACACTAAAACAATTCATTGAATAGACTGAGGAATACATTTTTATAATTTTGAACATGTGCTTTCTTCATGGTTTTTTTTTTTTAAATTATTTATTTAGTTTTGGCTCCGCTGGGCCTCTGTTGAAGTGCCAGGGCTTCCTCTAGTAGCAGTGAGTGGGGGGCTCCCCTCTCTCGGTGTGGTGCACGGGCTTCATCGTGGGCTTCTCATTGCAGAGCACAGACAGGCCCAGTTGTGGCCAACGGGCTTACTTGCCACATGGCATGTGGGACCTTCCTCAATCAGGGATCGAACCTGTGTCTCCTACATTGGCAGGTGGATTCTTTACCACTGAGCCACCAGGGAAGCTGTCTTTATATTATGTTAAAGTGAATCTAAAACGTTTACTCTTATTAAATTTTATTTGAATACTGTCAATACTTTTTAGTACAAGTTGTTTTTTCTTAAAGGAAGACTTAGAAAAATGCTCCAGTTCTGGGATGATTTGATAATTTCTTTGAGTCTTCTCATGCTGATCTGCTTGGTCATCTTTTGTGGCTCAGGGAACTTCAGAGATGTTTAATTCCACCAACTTCCAAGTTCATGAGCCTTGCAGGTGTTTTCCGTTGTCCATTGCATTCCCTTTCCTGAAGGAAATTTTTTTATTTAAGGCAATCACTGATTAATATAGGCTTTCCCATATTTATATTTCAGTGAAGTGTAGATCCCCAAATAGCTAGAAGACAAAGTATAAATCTATTGTTCAAAAGGAAAATTTTTAAAAATCCAGTTCAGTGAGTGTGAATTTTTAAAGGTCAAGAAACAACAGTTAGAACCCGACATGAAACAATGGACTGGTTCAGAATTGGGAAAGGAGTATGACAAGGCTGTTCATCTAACAGCTTATTTAACTTATATGGAGAGTGCATGCTAAGTTGCTTCAGTTTGTCCAACTCTTAGTGACCCCATGGACTATAGCCCATCATGCTCCTCCATCCATGGAATTTTCCAGGCAAGATACTGGATTGGGTTGTCATGTCCTTTTCCAGAGGATCTTTCCAACTCAGGGATCAAACCCGCGTGTCCTGCAGCTCCTGCATGGCAGGCAGATTCTTTACTGCTGAACCACCGGGAAAGCCCGATATGCAGAGTACATTATGGGAAATGCTGGGCTGGATGAATCAGAAACTGGAATCAAGATTGCCTGGAAAAATATCAACAACCTCAGATATGCAGATGATACCACGCTAATGGCAGAAAGTGAAAGGAACTAAAGAGCCTCTTGATAAGAGTGAAAGAGGAGAGTGAAAAAGCTGACTTAAAACTCAACATTCAAAAAACTAAGATTATGGCATCTTCTCCCATCCCTTCAGTGACAGATTTTATCTTCTTGGGCTCCAAATCACTATGGATGGTGACTACAGCCTTGAAATTAGAAGACACTTGCTCCTTGGAGGGAAAGCTATGACAAACCTAGACAGCATATTAAAAAATAGAGACATCACTTTACCAGCAAAAATCCATATAGTCAAACTATGGTTTTTCCAGTAGTCAGGTTCAGGTGTGACAGTTCAACCATGAAGAAGGCTGAGCGCTGAAAAATGGATGCTTTCCAGTCGTGGTGCTGGAGAATACTCTTGAGAGTCCCTTGGACTGCAAGGAGATCAAACCAGTCAATCTTAAAGGAAATCAACCCTGTATATTCATTGGAAGGTTTGATGCTGGAGTTGAAGTTCCAATACTTTGGTCACCTGATGCATACAGCCAACTCATTGGAAAAGAACTTGATGCTGGAAAAGACTGAAGGCAAAAGGAGAAGAAGGGAGTGGCAAAAGATGAGATGGTTAGATAGCATAACCAACTCAATGGACATGAATTTGCACAAACTCCAGGAGACAGTGAAAGACAGGAGAGCCTAGCATGCTGCAGTCCATGGGGTCACAGAGTCGAACATGACTTAGCGACTGAACAATAAGACCAAAAAGCCTCAGCTTTAGAAAACATCAATTTTATTTAAGTTGGTGGAGTGATTTTTTTTTTTTTTTTAAGGAAATAACTTTCCTTCCTGGAAATAACCCAGGAAAGGGCTTACAATTTTATCATGATATTATGTTAGCCAGATCTGGCAGTTATTCTCTTGGGGATGTATCTTATGTCCTGCCTTTAATATAATGAAAAACTATTAAAAAAATACATGGAATTTAATATGAAATAATATAATGAAATGAATTCCATAAAATGGGCACATACCACTGGGTACATCAATGCTAGGGACTGTGGGAAATGAGAATACTTGTCAGTGAAGCTGATAGGTCCCATTGCTTGTTGGCCTGTAAACCTGTCCTCTTGTTAGCAAGGAGGCCCTCGAACATGCCAAGTCCACTGAGAGCTCTACGCAGGGCAGGGATCCTGGAATGAAGACCATCCCATCCCCAGACTGAATTCAGAGGAAGCCAGGTGATCCCAGAGACAGTGGGAATAGGTGGCCAGCTGACCCCTGGATCAATCTGCCTTTTATTTGGGGCTGAGAAAGGGAAGCAGCCCTGCATCGACCCTATAATAGTACACAGGGTGCCCTTTAGAATCACAGAGCGACTCTGGACATCACCCAGTCCAGCCTTTTCATTGTCCAAGAGAACTGGGAAGCTGGGTCCAGAACAGTGAGATGACTTCACATCTGGTAGAGCTGGAGACAGAGACAGGGTAATGCGCGAAATTGCTGAATTTACATTCAGGATGTCTCCATTATAGCTAGCTCCTCTATTTTGTGCGCTAAGAGACTAAAACCATAATAAGACACCTTTAAAAAAAAAAGAAAATTTATAAAAGATGAAAAGGCAAGCTGCCTTTTTAAAGATTACTATCTTCTAATTCTTTTTTTTCCCCTCCAAATCAAGAAGGGGGTAGTATCTGCATCTGTTTCAGCATTCTCTTCTCTTATTTCTTCTTTGTCATGAGGTCCTCCCCTTTTTTCACAATGATAGAAACCATTGGAAAACTGACTCACTTTGCCAAATCTAATCTAGTTCAGGAAATACGAGCTCTCTAAATTAAAGATCACAAAAGTTCTCAATTTTACTGCAACAGCATTGTTGCTGTCGTTCAGTCACTAAGTCCTGTCTGACTCTCTGACCCCATGGAGTGCAGCACGCCAGGCTTCCCTGTCATCGAACCATCTCATCTTCTGTCGTCCCTTTCTCCTCCTGCCTTCAGCCTTTCCCAGCATCAGGGTCTTTTCCAATGAGTCAGCTCTTCTCATCAGGTGGCTAAAGTACTGGAGCTTCAGCTTTAGCATCAATCCTTCCAGTGAATATTCAGGATTGATTTCCTTTAGGATTGACTGGTTTGATCTCCTTGCAGTCCAAGGACTCTCAAGAGTCTTCTGCACAATTCAAAAGCACCAGTTCTTCAGTGTTCAGCCTTCTTTATGTTCCAACTCTCACATCCTTACATGACTACTGGAAAAACCATAGCTTTGACTATATGGACCTTTGTTGGCAAAGTGATGTCTTTGCTTTTTAATATGCTGTCTAGGTTTGTCATAGCTTTCTTTCCAAGGAGCGTCTATTAATTTTACGGCTGCAGTCATCCTCTGCAGTGATTCTGGAGCCCAAGAAAATAAAATCTGTCACTGTTTCCACTTTTTTCTCCTCTATTTATTATGAAGTGATGGGACCAGATGCCATGATCTTCGTTTTTTTTAATGTTGAGTTCTAAGCCAGGTTTTTCAGTCTCCTCTTTTACCCTCATCAAGAGGCTCCACATTAGTCACAAAAATATGGTTGGTCTCATTGGTCCTCCTAGTATTATAACCTAAACCTAAGAAAAACTGTCCACTGCAGTAAGGTAAACAGTGTTGGCATTAACACAAAGAGAAACTCCCAAGTTCAGTTATGAAACACATTTTCATGAGCTGCCTTTATCTTTTTGGCACTAGCCATCACAGAGAAGTGAGGCATTGCTAAAATTTATTTGGGAAAAGATCCTTCTGGACTGCTCAGTCCTGGGCTAATAGCCAGATCACCCTCCCACACCAATATGGGCTTGTGGGGGCCTCTGGGCCTGGGAGCCCTGTTAAAAAGTTCCATTTCTTTCTACCCAGCCCCACTTCCAATCACAGGGCCACCTGCTAATCAGAGGCAGCCAGGTACCTGCTCCCGGTTCATCACCCCAGCCAGCAGCCATGGAGGGCTGACCAGCTGTTAGACCCACTCAGAGGAGATTCAGGAAATGAGAAGGGGACTGTGGGCCCTGGGTTGCTCTTCATTCGCTCTGAGACCTTCATCCCATTTTCTTGTCCACTGAGTGTTTTGTGGCTGATACTACCATTTTGGTTTTGAAAGTGAAAGTCGCCCAGTCATGTCCGACTTTGTGACCCCATGGACTATACAGTCCATGGAATTCTCCAGGAATCTCTGGGTTGGGAAGATCCCCTGGAGAAGGGAGTTTTGGTTTTGATGCCTTGTTAAATATCTAATTTTAAAATGAAACTGTGGCATGGAAGCTTCACCTTCTCAAATAATCCTCAAAATGTGTATTTAGTAAAGCAAATGTAAGAAACCATTGTTGCTGTTGTTCAGTTGCTCAGTTGTATCCGACTCTTTGTGACTCCATGGACTACAGCTCGCCAGTCTTCCCTGTCCTTCACCATTTCCCAGAGCTTGCCCAAAGTCATATCCATTGAGTTGGTGATGCCATCCAACCATCTCATCCTCTGTCATCCCCTTCTCCTCCTGCCCTTAATCTTTCCCAGCATCAGGGTCTTTTGTAATGAGTTGGCTCTTCACATCAGTTGGCCAAAGTATTGGAGCTTCAGCATCAATCCTTCCTATGAATATTCAGGATTGATTTCCTTTAGGATTGATTGGTTTGAACTCCTTGCAGTCCAAGGGACTCTCCAGAGTCTTCTCTAACACCACAGTTCAAAAGCATCAATTCTTTGGTGCTCAGCCTTCTTTATGGTCCAATTCTCACATCCATACATGACTACTGGAAAAACCATAGCTTTGACTAGATGGACCTTTGTCAACAAAGTAATGTCTCTGTTTTTTAACATGCTGTCTAGGTTGGTCATAGCTTTTCTTCCAAGGAGCAAGTGTCTTTTAATTTCATGGCTGCAGTCACCATCTGCAGTGATTTTGGAGCCCAAGAAAATAAAGTCTGTCACTGTTTCCATTGTTTCCCCATCTATTTGCCATGAAGTGATGGGACTGGATGCCATGATCTTAGTTTTTTGAATGTTTGAGTTTTAAGCCAGCTTTTTCACTCTCCTCTTTCACTTTCATCAAGAGACTCTAGTTCCTCTTCAGTTTCTGCCATAAGGGTGGTGCATATCTGAGGTTATTGATATTTCTCCCAGCAATCTTGATTCCAGTTTGTGCTTCATCCAGCCTGGAATTTCGCATGATATACTCTGCATATAAGTTAAATAAGCAAGGTGACAATATACAGCTCTGATGTACTCCTTTCCCAATTTGGAACCAGTCTGTTGTTCCATGTCCAGTTCTAACTGTTGTTTCTTGACTTGCATACAGGTTTCGCAGGAGGCAGGTAAGGTGGTCATGTATTCCCATCTCTTGAAGAATTTTCATAGTTTGTTGTGATCCACAGTCAAAGGCTTTAGCATAGTCAATGAAGCAGAAGTAAATGTTTCTTCTGGAATTCTCTTGCTTTTTCGATGATCCAACAGATGTTGGCAATTTGATCTCTTGTTCGTCTGCCTTTTCTAAATCCAGCCTGAACACCTGGGAGTTCTCAGTTCATGTATTGTTGAAGCCTAGCTTGGAGAATTTTGAGCATTATTTAGCTAGCATGTGAAATGAGTGCAATTGTGCAGTAGTTTGAACATTCTTTGGCATTGCCCTTCTTTGGGATTGGAATGAAAACTGACCTTTTCCAGTTCTGTGGCCAATGCTAAGTTTTCCAAATTTGCTGGCATATTGAGTGCAGCATTTTAACAGCATGATCTTTTAGGATTTGTAAGAAACTGAGCAGCTATCTATTCTTGCTGAACAAGTCACCCCAGAACTTAAAATGATGGTTTAAAATGATAGCCGTTTTCTTTGCTGACCAGTTTGTGGGTTAACAATGTGGGTTGGTTGGTTCTTAAGCTCCCTTTGCCTAGAATTGCAGCTGCATTTGTGTGACAGGTCATCTGAGGTGGGAGTCTCAGGAGGCCTTACTGACAGTTGGCAGGGCCACGTTACCTGCAGCAGAACAGAACAAGTGCTGTGGCCCAATTCAGCCTCGGTGTGGGAGGTGACCACACATGGGCATGGCCCCCAGGAGGCATTATTCACTGGAGAGCCACGGATACTATAGATCACCTCCCTTCCTTCCTACCTAGTGGGAAGGTTCCCAAGTTAGTCAGCATAAATATATCACTCTGATGTCATTCTGAGATGGTTATCTAATACTTTTTTCCATTCCCTTCCACTTTTTATTTAAATGAATTATAATTTAGCCATATCATGGGTCATGTAGGCATCCTCACCACAAGTTGCAACAAAATGGAAAACTCCCACCATGTGTGAAATGCATTGTCGAGTCACTTATAAATGATGACGTTGCTGTTTCAGACCTCTTTATTGTGCAAAGCCGCCATCCATGCAGGAGTGATTGCAGATGAAGTGGGTGGTCAGATCAGCGTGTTTCTGCGCAAAGGGATAAGTCGATATGAAGGAATCCTGGCCAATGGTGTTCTCTCAAGGGAGTAAGTACTTAGCTTTTTGTTCTGAATGCAAGGTAACCCTGCAGGCGTATGTAATCAGCTCACAATTTTTTAAAGACAGCTGGCTTGTGATACCAAGGGCCTGTCAACTGGGAAAAATAAGTGTGAGTGCTTAGAGTAGTATTTATAGTGTCCATTTGGGCTTCCCAGGTGGCGCTAATGGTAAAGAACCCACCTGCCAATGCAGCTGACTTAAGAGATGCAGGTTCTCTCCCTGGGTCAGGAAGATGCCCTGGAGGAGGGCATGGCAGGGCACTCCAGGATTCTTGCCTGGAGAATCCCATGGGCAGAGGAGCCTGATGGGCTATGGTCCATAGGGTTGCAAAGAGTCCAACACAACTGAAATGACTTAGCTTGTAGCAATAAAATAGCTGTTTATGCTGACAAGTTAGTTAAAATGGCACATTTCTGAAGTCCCAGGGCAGCAGAACATTCTACTCTCAGGTGCTTCAGTGGGAGGGAATAAAGGCTTAGGCCTCTCTAGTTTCTCCTGTTTATGTAAATTACTTATTATCGCCAATATTATCAAAGATACTGAAGAAGACACAGGACTGAAATAAACCCAGGCAGAACCACAGAAATCCCTAGAGGATCCCTAGAGACAGTCTCTTAAGGATGAATAATAGTTGAGAAGTGAAAAAAAAGATGGCTTTTGTTAACATTGTTAACTTCTGTTTGTGTTATCCTCTGATCCTTTAGCTTTTTATGAAAAAAGTATGTCAGTTGCTTTAAACACTTCAACCTCAGTTTTTAATGCTTTCAGGTTTCCTCAGCTTCCAGAGAGGAAAACTAGAACTGTTATAACTAAAATAGGCTAGCCTTGTGATCCAGATGTCCATCCGTATAAACAGGCAGCTAAGACTGGTCCAGAAGGACGCTCCCTTTGGAATGGGTGGCCACCTAGTGAGGGAACAGTGCTCCCCGAGCCCCTTACAGTTCGTGTCCTCAGGGATTGGCCCCAAGGCTCCCGTGGATACCCAAATCCAGGGATGCTCAAGTCCCTTATAGAAAATGGCGTAACATTTATATATAACTATGCACATCCTGCCATGGACTTTAAATCATCTCTAGATTACTTATAATACCTAATATAATGTAAATGCTATGTAAATAGTTGTAAATACTATTGTAAATGTTATGTAAAGAGTTGCATGTGGCAAATTCAAATTTTGCTTTTGGAATTTTTTTCCCTGAATATTTTTACTCTGGTTGGTTGACTCTGGGGATGCAGAATCTGCAGATATGGCTGACTGTATATACACATAGTATGTGCTCATACATATGTACTATAAAAATAAATTTTATATTATGTACACATGTATTATATATGCTCACATATATGCACACATGTAAGTATATAAATTTTTTTTCACTTACATATTTACCTCAAACTCTTTGGGACATTAAAATTTATATCCTGATTTATAAACGTATACCCTGATTTATGGGGAGTTTCCCAGGTGGCACTAGTGGAAAAGAACCTGCCTGCTAATGCAGGAGACATAAGAGACGTGGGTTCAATCCCTGGGTCAGGAAGATCACCTGGAGGAGGGCACAGCAACCCACTCCAGTATTCTTGCCAGGAGAACAGAAGAATCCCATAGATAGAGGAGCCTGGCGAGCTACAGTCCATGAGGTGGCAAAGAGTCAGACACGACTGAGCACGCAGGCTCCCTGATTTGTAGTATTTATAGCTTAGCGTATTGCTTCAGCACAGTAAGCTTTCAATGTCTGCTCAACTTTGACTTTTGAAGATCTATTTCTTTTAATGTTTTTTATGGTTTGCTCTACTGATACTACAGTACTATTTATCAGGAAGATATCCAGCTGTGACCTAGATCTGCTGGGGTGCTATTTCTCAAATAGGAACAAAGAACCGGCTTTGGCCTTAAGTTTGTTGTTTTTGGATCTCTTGCCTATGTTTGAATACATTTGCATGCTTCTTTTTTAGAAAAAAAAGATAGGAAAAAGTTAAACTTGTATTACTTGGATTTTATTTTACTTTTGAAGAAAAGTTATTTAAGCTATTGAATGACAGTAGACATAATGTCCTCAATTACTGCTGCTACATCAACTGGACTTACAACATTAGAAGTCACTTTATATAATTTTATATTAAACTTTAGGGCAAAAATAGGAGTCCAGAAATCTAAATCATAAATGAATTAGCAAACTTTTGCTAATTTGAACTAATTGAGTGATTTTTGCTTTGGTATGCATAGACAGAAAGCCTAGAACTATATCAAGGTCCCTGCTCCCTTCTGGCTCTGTGGTCTTTTTGTGCCCAGCAGAAGAGAGTAAACTGTGTGCTCACACCGTCCCTTCCACTGGTTTCCATTCCCGGGTCTTCAGGGAGCCGCTGTTTTGATCGGTGCTGTTTTGCTGTTGGAGCAGCACTGTACATGCGGTCAGTGAACTTCTGTTCCCACGCATGATTGTTTGGTGTTCAGGAAGACACACAGAAGGAAGCACTGCCGCTGAGGAAGAAGGGGTCCCTAAAGTAAATATCTAGGGTTCTTCTGGGATTCATCCCGGGTCAGGTCACTTCCCTGATCTGAGGAGACCAGAATGGAATCAGGAAGAGCCACTGACCTCACACAGAGGACGACGGCTCAGAACATCTGCAGGGAGGGCTCTGTGTTTACATCAGATGATTCGTGATGGCTTCTGCAGCCCTCTGGGAAGGCTGGCAATTCCTGGAATCTGATTCATTCACCCTAGTGTGCAAACGCCTCAATCCCATCCTCCCTAGGGGGTTTTCATTTTTAAAAGCAGCAGCTTATTTACCTACAGAATTCTCTAGGTGGTTGTATTTAATTAGTTTAATTGGGTGAAATGAAAAAACATATTCCAGCTGATATAGAGGAAAGCCAGGCAGAGAGATCTTAGAAGCACAGGCTTCCCCAACATCATCATCTTCTCAGGGTTAACTCCAAAGCTAACCTTCTTGCCTTAACTTCTCTTTTTGAGTCACAGAATAAATCTTTTAATGATTCATGGCAGTGAGAGCACATCCAGGCCATCAGGGAAGAGGCAGTATTATTTGGGCTTATCCGGCCAAACTTCAAGTGTAATACTTAGTGCAGGAATGTTAGAGGAAATGGAAAAATGAAGAAGAGGTTCTAAATACATCTTAACTAATTTAAACATGAATCACAAAAATGTGAACTCCAACAGTGTGAACCTTTCTTTAAAGGTTAGGAAAACTGGGACCTCACCCCCACTCAGCCACTAACTATGAACTGAAGGAGGTTTGATGATCCACGTGGGCCTGCATTTTCTCATGTATGAAATGGTTGGTCCCTGCGTTATGCTCAGCATGGATCTTATGAATCTGAATGTGGAAAACCAAGGCTTACAGAGTCTCTTCCTGAGAGTGGACAAAGAATATGAAAGAAAAACCTGTTACTTAAGAAAAAACCAAAAAACAAAACCTTTGATGTGAATGTGCTAATACTCTTGTCCAGACTATTTTTGGGTTCTCTGTGGATTTCACATTTCAGTACTCTTTGTCCATTATTGGCATAGTAATTGAGTCAAAACATTTAAAACTGTAAGCAGTACTCAGATTGTAAAATAACTGAACATGACAGTGATGTCTACCTTTTTTGTTTACCTCTAGTATCCAATACATAAAGTATGATGCATATAAGATGAATCTTGAGAATTTCAAGTTTTCTATTCATTCTCTGTACTGTCACAGCATTGAGTTGATGAGGGGTTTACAAAAAGAAAAATGTGATGGTAGGCCTTAGGAACCTCTTCTCTGCAGGAGACAAATGCAGAGCAAGGCAGATTTGATAAGTTCGCCAGGAGAGTGATTCACGTTATAGAACTGGGGGCCCCCGAGGGTCCAGGCCAGCTGGGCAGGGCTGTCCAGCAGCCGTGCAGGCCCGGGTCAGGACCTGTCAGTGAGGCGCTCTGAGTTTTCTCCAGTTGCACCTTGTTATCCAGAGGCAGGAACTGCTTCACGGCTGGGAGTCTTTGCTGCAGGAGGCCGGACTGTGACTGGAGAGAGAGACCGGGCTGAGGAGGCCCTTCAGGCTGACACAGGACCACTCAGGGAAGGAGGGAAGTCTGTAGCGAAGGCAGCAGATAACATGCCCATTCTCAAAATGAGCGGGTGTCTTCATGTCTCAGTGGTCCTTGACAGTTGTTAGTGAGTGGGGCGCTGTGGGGGTGCCTGCTGAAGCAAAGAGCATGTCTAGGGCAGGCATGCTTTCTGCCTCCGCCACCACAAAGTCATTAACTGGGCTTTCAGGGTGTTCTGGAGACCGTATATGTGTACATTCCGTCCCAGTACAGTGTGGCGTGATGGGAAGAGCACAGAATTTTGATTCACAAGCAGTGCCTCCAGAGTCCTGGCCACTTGTCACCTGCGTGAGTTCAGGGAAGTTGCTTACCTTCAAAGGGCCTGAGTTTCTTGGTCTGTGAAATACCAGTGACGGAGGGAGGAGTGGCCTTGCCAGGTGCTCTGAGGACCACGTGAGGTGGGGGAAGGCTCTGAGCCCCATGCTGTAGCGCTGTACCAGTCATCAAGAGCCAGTGAAGCAACTCACCTCCTCATCTTTGTGTTTATTATTTCAGCGGTTCCCTGTCAGACAAGCGATTTCTGTTTACCTCCAATGGTAAGGATCATGCTTTCCTTAAGAATTTGATAATTTAAAAATCTTCAGGGGTAGCCTATTCTTCCATACCCCTCAGATGAAATAGTTTAAAGGATTATTTTTCTTTCCCCTCAGGCTATGTAGCACCAATATGCTGTGACTTAAAAATACATCAGCGAATAAACCCAGTTAGCACTAGGAAGAAAATATTTTTCTTTATAATCTCTCATACTTTTGCCAAAAAGAATGAAAATTTAAAATGACATTTAAGATAAATTCCTTTGTCAATTTTTAACAGGAAAAGCTTTTGAGTAAGTACAATTTATATTTGTTTTCAAGTTATTGAAAATGAATATATAGTATAAAGGCTTTTTTTTAGCCCCTCCATCATGGAATTTATTCTGGGGAACTAGTCTCCCTCATACAAAATATTTGGGGAGAACACCGTAAACTTCTCTGTCCTGGAAGAGGACTGGCCTTTATCTGCTACCTTTGCATTGTCTTGGACATTGCTATAGTTAAGCGCCCAGGGGTGATGTTGGGTATGATGAGCTGATCTTTGAACACCTGCTGTACCTGCTCTTCAAGGGTACAGAGCATGAAGTCCCCCTTCTAATCAACCGAGAAGAACCTCAGCATTAAGCTTTTAAGACACCTTGCACTTCATGGAAATTAGGGTGAATTTAGAAGGATAGAAAGGAAAATCTACAGTGGGGACAAAGAGATATCACTTTTAGAGGATATAAATTCTGTTAAAAAAAACAGCAACAATTTCAAGACGCCACAGTACCAATGAGTCAAATGGAACTCTGGATCATTAAAAACTAGTAATTAAACAGTTGATTCAGTATCAGAACGGAAGTAAATCAACTGAATCATTCTAGCTGAAATGGGGTGTTTGTTTTTTTTTTTTGCTTTTTGTTTTCATTTTGTGTCCATATCTGAAATCTTTTCCTGCCCTTTATCCTAGACTGCAGCAGATCCTTGAGTTTGGAACCTGACAGGCAAATCAGAGCTTCTTCTTCTTGGGAGTGGATCAATGAGACTGGAGATCAGGTCCGCTGGTCTCCTGGCCAAGCCCGCCTTCAGGACCAAGGCCCGTCGTGGGCTTCAGGGGACAGGAGCAAGAACCACAAACAGCGAGAGTGGCTAAGGATAGATTTGGGAGAGAAAAAGAAAATAACAGGTATGGACGCAAGTGCAATTTCATGAAACAAGATGACCTGCCGTTGAAATTGTTTTGAATTTGCATGGGTGTCCCCATCTCAAAGTATCAAGTCTTGTTTAAAAGTAACAAATCTTCACCTTGTCTCTGTGAGAAGAACCTGCGTGGAGGGTATACAGATGGATGTGTGGATAAGAGAGGTATCTCTTTGCAGAAACCTTTTTAGGGCATATTGTCAGTGTGAAAACTCATCTGTCATCACGTTTCTAAATGCAGATGAGAAAAGCAGGCCTGAAAAATGATCTGAAATTTCAGATGGGGGAGGGGAAGAAAGGAAAAGAAACCTGAAAATAATAATGCAAGTTATATATAACATATTTTTAAAACTAACCCATAAATAATATTTTCTTACAAGGAATTAGGACCACAGGATCCACACAGTCAAATTTCAACTTCTATGTAAAGAGTTTTGTAATGAGCTTCAGAAACAACAACTCCAAGTGGAAGACCTATAAAGGAATTGTGAATAATGAAGAAAAGGTAAGAGAGACTCTGGAGGGAGGAACTGAGTCGGAGAGCAGGCCTCCGGATTTTTTCATTAGTGTGTTTCCAGAAAACAGATGCAAAGCACCACGTCCAGTTACTTAGCCTTTATGTGCAAGGCCTTGCATCTTCAATATCAGGCATGTCTATACACATGCGACGGACATAGAATCCTGGCTTTGATTTCCTATCACCAGGTGTGAGTGGGTTGATCAAGACCTAGAAACTAATAGAAGCTTCAGGTAAAAGTTACTTTGTTCCTACAGGTGTTTCAGGGCAACTCTAATTTTCGGGACCCTGTGCGGAACAATTTCATCCCTCCCATTGTGGCCAGATACGTGCGCGTCATCCCCCAGACATGGCACCAGAGGATAGCCTTGAAAGTGGAGCTCCTTGGCTGCCAGATTGCACCGAGCATGACTCAGGGTGAGTGAAGGAGTTACTGAATTTGGGTCCCCTCCTTTCACAAACTGCTGTTACCAGTGTGGTTTCTCCAACATCTCTTCTCACTCAGATAATGACTCACTGGTGTGGCACAAAACAAGTGTGGATACTGTTGGTTCAACGGAAGAAGAAGATGAGACAATCTCAAAGCCCATCCCCGTTGAAGAAATGCCCAAAGGTATGGCACGGATTGTTTTGTGGTTTCTTAAGGAACATAGCTGGTATTCCAGCCAATAGTACAGTAGCTTCAACAACATTCTTTTTTCCTCTGTCATGTAAGTGTCCAGAGGCAGATGGTTGAGAAGTATCTGCATATGCATAAGATAGTAGGTATCCACACTTCTCATTGCAATATTGTAACTAGAAACAGGCTAGAAACAAAAGCATGTGCCCTTCAAACACTACGTAAATCTTCTGTAGGAAAAAAAAGAAACCAATAGCACAGTCATGCCATGGAATACTCTAACAACCATAAAAAAGTATATTAGAGAAAGTTCTCTGAGACACACTGACAACTTAAAATAATAAACATTAAAAATACATTAATTTTTTTCAGAATGTAAAATAATTTGCATATTAATTTTATACAATGTGGAAGATTTGAGATAAAAATCATCCATAAATCAGCATCCAAGGTCACCATATTCCACTGTGTATCCAATTATATTTATTTTTGTAACTTCAAAACAAAATGGCAGCATGCCACATATTTTGTTCTGTAGCATGTATTTTTCATCTGACATTGTATTATGAGCATTTTCCAATGCAATTAAATAGTTGAAAAACACAGTTACTGATATCTTTATAGTATTTCTTCATATGGACATACCATCTAGTTAACCATTCCCCTGTTACTGGTTGTTTGAACTGTTAGATTGTCCCCAAATTCCCACTCCTATAAATAACACCACTGTTATTTACATAAATATTGTTCCCTTCTAACTTCCTTGTCCTCCGTTTCGTGCACGACACATTTCCACTCCTGATCATCCCTTTATTTTCTTCCCAGGGAACAAAGAATAAAGAAGGGTTAAGAAGAAACATTTCTCCTTTAGTTTTCCTAGTTTCTACAAGCCTGGGGTCTTCCGTGGCTGTTAAAGTGACCTTCTTCCTTCAAACAGACAGTTGTGGGAGGACATGGTCTGGTGCTGGCCTGCATGTCCTTTCAGTCCACGGTTCCAAGGGTCTGGTTCCCCGGGCTTCTGTTACCCTACAGGTCCAAACCTGCCCCCGTCTCGGGGAAATGCTTACCTGAGCCACACTGAGAGTTCTGCAGTGTGCTTACATCATCTACCTGCCTGAATAAGGCCAGCTATAAACCTCCCCAACCATTTTGATTTTTAGTCTAATATGATCCAGGCAACAAACTCAGAGTAAATGTTAATCCCAAGGAACACTGGGAAGTGCCTTTGGGGGGAAAAAAAAAAAGATCAATTTTATTTTCCTAAACTTTAGCTGGGATTTTGAATCCTCTCTTTTTGCTTTCCAGTATCATTACATGTCTAGTGTATATTCTTTTTCCCCACATGTTAAACCAGTGAGGACTTTTCAAATCAGTGTTCAGTTTTAGATCATGGAATTTGGTCCCTCTTCATTTCTGTTGTAATGTGGTGGCTTTTCCCCTTTTCAGGATTAAACATCACAACTATTGTTATTCCACTGGTGCTCTTCTTCGTGCTGGCTGCTGGAGTGGGAATCTTTGCAGTCCTTAGAAAGTATGTGACTTCACATTTAAAAACATTTTTATTCTAATTATGTCAATAATCACAAAAGTTTACTGCTCTTCATATGTTCATGTGTAGAAAGCAGCATCACTTCTTCCAAGATAAAATGTTAACATATTTTTAAAACAAGTTGGAGAGAGGGAGAAAGTATCAAGTATTTCATGAGCAGTACCTATCATTTAGAAATCTTTTCAGTGGGATTTTTTTTTTGTTTTAATAGGAAGAAGAAGAAAGGAAATCCTTATGGGTCATCTAAGGCTCAGAAAACAGGTTGGTTGAAAAAACTATTAGTTTTATTCTGTCTTTGAGGACATGAAAACCCACACTTATATGGTTAAAGAAATAAGATTTAATAGCTTTAAGTTAGCAAATCTAACAGGAAAGAATATATTGTATCCTATATCTCTTAATTCAGAATCTTCATAGCCAGTTTACTTTTACCTTTGTTCAACATCATCCCATCATTTGTCAAATTATTTTTCTGGCAACTGGAGTTTGGGTCACCACACTGCCTGTCACCAAGCAGAAGAGAGCACCCCTTCAGCCTTGTGTTTCTCATTCCGGGAGATCGGAAGGACTGGCAGGTTTCAGAGACTCCTTAGGACTTGGGATGCCCTGCAGTGAGTCAGCTGTGGTCCAGAGAGGGGGCAGCAGGCAGGACCCCTGAGAATCTCAAGGCCACTGTAGGGTGCCATCTTCAGAGGCTCTGAGCCGCCCGCTGTGTGGACTCTTCAAGGTCACAAAAGCCCTGTCAGCTCAGATTAGGGAAGTTCATGCCCAGGTGGTCTAAACGGGATAATCTGGGGGCTGCTGGGTACACAAGTGCATTTTACAGGCACAGCGGGAAGCGTGGTTTGGGTGGTGTGTGCTCCTGTGTAACGACCTCAGCAGGCTGTTCCCACCACACACCTCGAGAGCTGTGGTTGTGCATGTGTCGCAGGCAGCTGGCCAAAGGCAGCCTGACCTCTGACTTCAGGAGGAACCTGTTGTGGAGTAACTGTGTTATACTCCTGAGATAGTTGTTTCGTGTTATCTTTATTCCAGACTGTTGGAAGCAGATCAAGTATCCCTTTGCCAGGCATCAGTCAGCTGAGTTTACCATCAGCTACGATAATGAAAAGGAGATGACACAAAAGTTGGATCTCATCACCAGTGACATAGCAGGTAGGTACCAAGTCTGTGACCGTGCTATGAGGTGCTGCTTATGGGGGAGGGGAGGCCAGGAAGAGAAGTACGACTAAAATCTTCTGTTTAGACAGGATCTAGTAAATCAGTAATGTGTGACATTTTCTCTCTGTGCTCTGTAGAGAGTCACAAACTAACACTGAACTATTTTCCCAAAGCCCCATTTAGCCTAGACTCTTACACCTGCAGGGCCTCTAATGACACCCAGAGCGATGGTCCTGAAGTACCACTGAAATTTGGAAGCCCTTACTTAATCTATTTTTGTTACTAAGGTTTTGATTAAGGCACTAGAAAGAGGGACTATAAAGATGAATTCAGCATAGCTCCTGCCCTGAAGAAAGAGGAAGAAGGAGATGAGGCAATCTGTTAGAATGGCCTTAGGGTTTTGACAAGCCATTGTGGAGTCACTGGATTTATGAAGAAGGATCTATTGTTTGGGTTTTCAAAATGTCTAGTCCATCAAGGACCAATAGTTTTGTAAAATACAGTATAAATATGTGAAGTTTTAAAAAGAAATTGAAAAAATTGTTTTAATTTTTAAAAAGTTTTTAGCCATGCCCTGTGGCATGTTGGATCTTATTTCCTACCGGGGATTGAACCCCTGCATTGGAAATGCAGAGTCTTAACCTCTGGACCACCAGGGAAGTCCCACAACAGTCATTTTCTAACCCATATGCTCCAGGAACTCCTTTTCTAGGTGGCTTCCATCTGTGCATCCCATCTTTCAGAGCTTAACAGCTGGGAAGCATCCTCTTTCCTCTCACCTTACATTGTTGGTGACCAGTTCTTCTGATGGTGGTGGTTTAGTCGCTAAGTCATGTCTGACTGTTGTGACCCTATGGACTGTAGCCTGCCAGGCTCCTCTGTCCATGGGATTCTTCAGGCGAGGATATAGGAGCAGGCTGCCATTTCCTTCTCCAGAGGATCTTCCTGACCCAGGAATTGAACCCAGCTTCGCTGCATTGCAGGCAGATTCTTTACCAACTGAGCTATAAGGGAAGCCCTATTCTTCTGAAACCTGTCCGCAAAGTGTGGTCTTTCCAAAGCTGCTGCTAGTCCCCTAATTTATGACATTTTTGTTTCATTTCTCTGCTTTTTAGTTTTATCTTTCCCTCTTCTGTCTCCTTCCAGGGTTACCTCTCTGCCAGTCACTTATGTTTCTACACAATTAAACCAAACTTCCTGGCAGGGCACTCACTGCCCTCCATGATCTAGGGTATAGGTAACAACTCGCACTTGGGACATGTGTTTGCATTCTGGCCCCACTGGTTGCTACCTATGTGATCCTGGAAAAATTATTTAAATTTCTCTCTGCTTCAGTTTTCCATTTGTAAAGTACTATGAGGAAACTACCTCATAACACATTTTTCCAGAGGATTTAGCTAGTTGATATCTTAATGTTACAGAATAGCGCCTGGAGCCAAGAAAGAACTCGGTAAATGTGAGCTTTATGATTATCACTGTTGCGGTTTGGTCGCCCAGTTGTGTGCTCCTTCTCACCTCACAGACTGTAGCCAGGCTCCTCTGTCCATGGGATTCTCCAGGCAATACTGGAGTGTGTAGCCACTCCCTTCTCCAGAGGATCTTCTTGACCCAGGGATCGAACCCGCATCTCTTAGGTTTCCTGCATTGGCAGGCAGGTTCTTTACCACCAGTGCCACCTGAGAAGCCCGTGATCACCATTACCGTTGTCATGAACTCCCAACCTATTACTCTGGTCTTGGCTTTCTATTAAATTTCTCCACATCTCCCCAACTCTGGTCACACCACCCTGTTCATCATTGTTTAACAGGTTGTTCACTCACTTTCCCCTTTCCTGACAGTATTATCTTCAACTCCGAAATCTGGCCTTTCAAGAGCCAGTTTAAGAGCTCCATGATGTTCCCTCATACCTCTAGGTGTGGTTAGGGGTAATCTCCACCTCTCCAGGTGTGGTATCTGTGCTGTTTACATCCCCGTCTTTCTCTTCCGCCTGGTACACGTCAGGCACCGGGCAGAGCACCCCCTCTGCAGACAGCCGGGTACCAAAAATCTGCTCTTTGGGTTTCAGATTACCAGCAGCCTCTCATGATTGGCACCGGGACGGTCACCAGGAAGGGCTCCACCTTCCGGCCGATGGACACCGAGGCGGACGCAGCGGGACCGGGTACCGAGGCCGGCGGCCACTACGACTGCCCCCTGCCGGCCGGCCGCCACGAGTACGCACTGCCCTTGACCCACGCCGAGCCCGAGTACGCCACGCCCATCGTGGAGCGGCACCTGGCCCGCGCGCACACCTTCTCGGCGCGGAGCGGCTACCGCGTGCCGGGGCCCCGGCCGGCGCACAAGCACTCCCTCTCCTCCGGTGCCTTCTCCCCAGCCGCCGGCTACCAGCGGCCGCCGAGCCCCGCGCCCGCGGAGCCGGGCTACGACCAGCCCAAGGGCTCAGCCGCGGGGCGCGACCCTCCCGACTCTCAGAAGCCCCAGGTCAGCCCCGCGAGCAGCGCTGCCTACTTGGCCCCCAGAGACTGCCTCAGACCCCTCAACCCGACGGCCATGACCGCTCTTCTGTGAACACACACACTGTGAACGAAACTGCTGCTGCGGTACTGAGCGCCGGGCCGCGCCGCCCTGGAAGCCGATGCGCTCGGGAGAGTGTGCCTGCGAGTGTGGTGTGTGCGCGTGCGTGTCTGCGCGGTGGAACAGGATCCTGCGGGGGAGTCGGAGATCCCCCCCGTCCACACTGTTTACAGAATTGTGCAGCTGGTTTTGTTGTGACCCTGAGGGCCAGCGTCTGTTGGGTTTTGTGGGCTAGAAAAATGAATATTTTTCAGATGGCGTTTTCATTTCTCTAACTGTGATACTGAGCTGCTTCGGTGTAAAATGTGCAATCTGTACAGAGTTGTATTTAACAAGAATTAAAGTAACTTAAGTTTGCTTTAGCAGATTTTCGTTCTGCCGGGAGGTTAAGTGGGAGAATGCAGCTGTTGCAAAAACATATAATAGTATGTTCACTTTTTAAATATATTTTATCTGATACTGTGTTAGCAGCAGGTCTGTTTAAACTTAATCTTGTTGTTATTATGGCTCATTTCCTTTCCTTTGATATGGAAAACTAAAAGCATTGTTAACATTCTTCTCCTGGAAGGAATGAAATTACTTGAAGCCTGACAAGCACACCAGGGTGGTGGTTTGCGATTACCACTGTAGATTAACAAGAACAAGCAAAATACTGGCACCTCGGCAGCTGCCGGTTCCTGAGACCCCACTTCAGGTGGGGATGTGCAGCGGCCTGTCAAGGTGTGCAAGGACCAGGTCTCTGGCCTGCTGGGGACCTCACTTCCCTCAGCCTGCGGAACCTGGCCCTCTGAGCAGCTGGCCTTCCTGACACTTTGCTTCCTGTTCACCTCAGGCCTGGCAGATAACTCACTTTCACATGCAAATCTGCCTTTTCAAACTGTCTGCAAAGCCTACTGCTGAGACTTAGAGCAACCAAAACTGCTCTCTCAACAGAGTGAAGGTGGCACAGCAATTACGCTATAAATTACTGTGTCAGATGCTTTTGTACCTCAGATGAAAAATACTGCTGAGGTCAGACGCCCACACTTTTCATGACTTTCATCGGAAACAGCACATTGTACTATTTGAAACACAAAAAAGTTATTTGAAGTGTGTTATTAAAGGTGACTGAAGCCAAATCTACATAGAGCTTTTTCTACGGAGATGGCTGGAAACAGCTAATTTTGTAAGAAAAAAATTTTCCCTCAAGTAGGTGTCTGTAATTCCAGATTGGCCCTGACTTCAGCTGTATCTCATTGTCCAGTGGTTTTATCTGAGTTTACTTTGTTAAGTTCACTGTGGGCAGGAGGGCGGGGGGCAGTGTGCAAATTTAACCTCTTTTGTCAAAGAGGAAAGTGTATGTTTTTGTTATGTGGACCAAAAAATTCTTTCCCTAAAAATGTGTAATGCTAGTTGTATGACACTTTCTGTGATACTGAGGTGCTGGAAGGTCACAGCAGATTATCTGTGGTTACTGTGGAGGACAAACCACTTACCATGTGAGTTTACATGGTTTTCTATGCATACTAATTGTAATAAACTATGCCAAACCAATGTACATACCCGTCTCTCATTGGTGTCCTGCTTGCTGGCCTACTGAAGGCACTGGAGGCTCAGCTCCCATAAAAGGGCACGTGGTACAATGGGAAGAGCATTCGTGGCTTTCGCTGGTTGGTCCTAAGCTGGAAATAGGGACAGAAATTAGGGAAGCTGTCAGTTGTTAATAAAGTCCTAGTGATCTGGGGTCAGTTGTTTCAGGCATTTTAATTTGGCTTCCTGCATTGCTTCCAGAAGTAGTGGTCCAACTTCCTACAAGCCTGACTTACAGCAGGCTGGCCTCTCTACCTGCTACTACGGATAATGAGTTGGTTTCCTATGCTTATTGCTGTAGGCTGCCAGCCAGAGTTCTGGTTTTATTTATGGTCTGCCCATGATCCATCTGTATATCCAATTTGTCATTACGTAACCGTGAGCCTCAGTTTCCTCATGCATAAAAATGATGTGAGTGTGCCTTCCTCCAAGGCTTACAGATAAGAACTGTGACATTTGGGCTGTATGTATTTTTAATACTAAAATACTAGTCCAAAATACCAGACTTCTCTACAGTGGAGCAGTGTCCATCTATCCCATTTCTTTCCCGTATACATGATCCAATCATGACAGAAAGAGCGAGGACAGGACTTTGTTTTGGAACACCACTTCCTCAGGATGGCCTCACTGTGTAGCCCAGGATGGTCAGTGGAAAAGTCTGATACACCCAACACAGCCAAGCCTAAACTACAGGATAAGAGCAGGAAAATACTATGCTTTTCTTTTCCGTTTTGCAACATTAGCACCTGTGAGAAGGCAACTGTCTGTTTTTTTCTATGTTATCAAATCCTTCTGGGAGGCAAAGATTGCAGTCTGTCACTTCTTACAATTGTGGCAGAAAGATCTCTGCTCAGACAGACAAGACTATGCCATCCACGCTACTCTGGCTTCTATTACTATGATTTACATGTGCACTAACTCATATTTATAATCAGCCTAGAAAACATCTAGAAAGGATGTTAGAGATTTCTCTTGTTTATTTTACACTGCTTTAGGTTCTTAGCCGAAACTGAAATCATATTTATCACCATGAACAGCCTTTCACAAAAACATCATCACAAGGCCTTTCATAAATACATCAGTTTAGCAATACAAGTGTAGCTACCAACTTGGCCTCATTATTCTCAAAATGCTTCTTGCATCTGTTTATGCACCAACTATTTATTAAGGTTCTGAGAGCCACGCTCACCCTGTACTTCCTTGAGAGAAAGCACAAGCTTGGGCGCTTACCAGGACCTGGGAGAGGCCGAGTCCCACTAATGAGGAGCTAGGGCTGAATAAGTCCTCCTAGAGGTCTCTGCCCCATACTCAGCCCATCCAGTCACCTAGAAGTGCCCTTCTCAGAGCCACACTGCTGTGTTCATGGCCCGCCACCCATCTTTCACCTCCCACTATGGGTCTGTCACCCAGCCTCTCCCTGTTCTGGGAATAAATTCCCCTAGAGGTTTTAAGGATTTCCACTCTGCTTTTGGTATTCTGCAATTGAAGTCACTCAGTCATGTCTGACTCTTTGCGACCCCATGGACTATAGCCTACCAGGCTCCTCCGTCCATGGGCTTCTCTAGGCAAGAGTACTGGAGTGGGTTGCCATTTCCTTCTCCAGGGGATCTTCCTGACCCAGGGATCGAACCCGGGTCTCCTGTGTTGCAGGCAGACGCTTTAACTTCTGAGCAACCCGGCCCTATTACCACTTGGGGTTGCTATAAATTCATTTGTATTCACTTGGGACTTGTGCTTCCAGAATCTTAGGATTCATCTTTATGAACTATGAAAAAGTCTCAGCCTCCCTTTTCCAATACTACTTGCCTCTGCTGTTTTCTTTATTCACTCTTGGGATTCCTGTGGATGCTCACTGGGCCTTCTCATTCCATCATGTGTCTTCTTCCCTCTTATTTTCTCTTTATCATTCTTGCTGCATTCCAAGTAAATTCCTGAAAGACAATATAGCACAGTGGTTGAATGCATCGTGGCCAAGGAACCAGAACTTCTCTGCACCTGTTTCCTTGCTTGTTACCTGGGGGAAAAATATACTCTCCCCCTACCTATAGCTGTTCTATTAAATGAAGCTTTCAGAGCACTGTCTGACCCACAAGAAGCACTGTATAAGATAACATATTATACTCCAGTTTACTAATTTCCAGTTTTGCTATCTGCTGTTTAATCATTGAGGTTTTAATGTCAATTAAAAAAATTTCTGGAGGGTCTACTGATTCTTTTTCAAGCCTTCCCTTTTCTACAGTGTCTTGGTATTTTCTATGGCTTTGATTCCTTCTTTTATTAATCATGTGAAACCTACTCATTTTAGATTCTTTTTTTCTGTCATCTTCATCTCATTGAGAATAAGAGCCACAAAGTCTGTGTAATGATTTGTAAGCCTCCGTCAACACTGCCCAGTAAAACTTTTGCAAGAACAGAAATATTCTGTGAGCTGCTCCGTAGGGTAACCACCAGTCACATGTGGCTGGAGTGACTGAAGAAAAATTGTTTTAATCTTGTTGACTTTTCACTTATTTAAATGTAGACAGCCAGATGTGACTACTGCGTTGACTTTTGCCTGTTTTGTTCCCCACATATATTCCCAGCACTCAGGACAGTTTTCAAGAAGGATCTGCTCAGTGACCAAAGAACTTCCAGAGGCTCTGTCCTGTTTGTCATTTCTACCGACTCTTGTTTGTGATGCTTCGTGCCTGTGTGGTTTCAGACTTTTGTCTGTGGGTCATCCTCAGCAGGGATTTTTCCTCCTGGTGAAAACTCTGTGATAATGTCTTTCTGAGGGGTTTGGGAATTTGTCAGGTACACCAGGTAAGACTGCCAGATAAAATAAAGGATACCCCATTAAGTCTGAATTTCAGATAAACAAGTAATTTTTTAGTTTAAGTATGTTCTGTGCAATGGGACAGATTTATACTAAAAAGTTATTCATGTCCTATAATTTGTATCCGTTAAATCTGGCAACTCTAATACCAGGAGTACCAGCCACCTTGCACTGGTTTTTAACTTTTGGATTGAACTTTTCAAAAATCGTGCAATACGCACCTTCCTCCGGATTCCCACTTCCCCATCCACTCCCTCCTTCAGCCCCACGCAAAGCTCTCTTCCCATATAACTCAGCTGGTTAGCTCTACCAGCTTTTCTTCTCCATGTGTCACCTGACATCTTCCAAGCCATTTCCCCCATTCACTGAGGACATCACCTAGCTCACTGTTTCTCCAATCTTTCTCTATAATCATGTGGAAAAGTTCAGTGTCAACATGGTAACTTTTATGATTTTTTTGACGTCTACTCTAGAAACCCTTCTAGAGGTTTCCCTGGTGGCTCAGAGGTTAAAGCATCTGCCTGCCATGTGGGAGACCTGGGTTCGATCCCTGGGTCGGGCAGGTCCCCTGGAGAAGGAAATGGCAACCCACTCCAGTATTCTTGCCTGAAGAATCCCATGGACGGAGGAGCCTGGTGGGCTACAGTCCACAGGGTTGCAAAGTGTCGGACACAACTGAGTGACTTAACAACTAACAACTAGAAACCTGCAGTTCGTTCAAACCACCTCCCTATATATCCACACTTGTTATCAGCAAGAACTCCAGCTCAGAAATCTTAATAATTCTATCTCTGCACAAAACCTATTCTCTGATTCCTTAGCTTTCATCCTTAGCTTCCATACAGATTCACTGATCTCAAGAAGAGATTTAACATTTATTTAATGCCTGCTGCTAAGTCACTTTGGTCATGTCCGACTCTGTGTGACCCCATAAACGGCAGCCCACCAGGCTCCCCAATCCCTGGGATTCTTCAGGCAAGAACACTGGAGTGGGTTGCCATTTCCTTCTCCAATGCTGGAAAGTGAAAAGTGAGAGTGAAGTCGCTCAGTCGTGTCCGATTCTTTGTGACCCCATGGATGGCAGCCCACCAGTTTCCTCGAAGTCCATGGGATTTTCCAGGCAAGAGTACTAGAGTGGGGTGCCATTGCCTTCTTCAATTTAATGCCTAGATCCCACCATTTTCCTCCGGTTGTTAAACTTTTTCGGTTTTCTTTTCTTCCCCATCCATCACTTAAACTATTTTGTCTGAGCATCTTTACTCCATGTTCCCTCCAGGACTGACGACCTAAAGGCCCCAACGACAGAAGTCCCCTTCAGGATGCCATCTTCCCATCTCCATCAGAGCAGCAGGAGAACAAGGCCTAACTGCCCACATGGAGCCTCTCAAGAAAACCCCAACCACCTCAGGCTCATTACTCCTTACCCCTTTACATAGCTTGGGTCACTTCTTTTCTCATCTCTGCCAGTCTGCACAGTCTCCCTCTAGAGATCTTGCCTCATCTTTCATCTAGGCATGTCATTAAAATCAGATCCAACAACTCCCTGTCCATCCTCTCCCCGCAAAAAGCTGCATCTACTCCAGTCCTTCCCTCCTGTGTCGATAGAAAAAATGTTTGTAACCTTCACGCACCAATTTCTCCCTCATTTCAGATTTTGCTTCAAGTATTTCCATTTCCTTTATCTTTAATTTCTGTTTCTGAACTGATATCTTCCTCTTGACCTATAAATGTGTTCAAATCTCTCACAAGTGTAAAAGGATTCTCCCTTAATATCCCAAGTCCTTCTAGTAAACAGTGACCTAAGCCTAGAATTTTCATGTGCCTTATCTCCCATTGATTCTTTTTTCCAGTGAAATTTTTATTTTCTATAATAGCCCTTTCCACTGTTTCAAGTCTTCTTTTACATTCTTTAAGGGCATTTTAAAAAGATTTTAATGACCCAGATAACCATGATGTGATCACTCACCTAGAGCCAGACATCCTGGAATGCGAAGTCAAGTGGGCCTTAGGAAGCATCACTATGAACAAAGCTAGAGGAGGTGATGAATTCCAGTTGAGCAATTTCAAATCCTAAAAGATGATGCTATTAAAGTGCTGCACTCAATATGCCAGCAAACATGAGAAACCCAGCAATGGCCACAGGACTGGAAAAG